CCCCCCCCGACCGTGTGCCGTGACACATGACTGCTGTGACATAAGATTAAGAGTTTGAAGTAAGGTAATGCGAGTGTTGAGGAGTTAACTTAGATAGAGCATATGGATGTATTAGATTAGAAATGACTTAAAGTATAAAAGGAGAAGACTACAGACAGATGACGTCGCTTGACGACTCCGTCAAGATGACCTGCTGAAGCTCTGCCCGAGACGCAGGAGCTTCCAGACCTGGAACAGAGGATCTGCATCCCTGCTCTGTCCGAGATGCTGACACGCTGTACCTGATCCTGACTGCCGAAACATCGAAGTCGCAGCTCGACCCTGCGAAGCCTGAGACCAGACTACATCTACCAGGTCGTATGCCCTCACCTATAGCATGATAGCATTTATGATTGTGTTAGAGATATTATGGGCTGGCATTATTTCTGGATTGCGCTGGCAATTGTAGTTGTATCCTTTGTGTGGGCTTGTATTTGTATTGTTAATGAGAGTAAAAGCATTGATCAAAACGAAACCGAATTGGCAATCATTGATGCGCTGACCCGTGATCCCGAAACGCAAATCGGTGCTCGCGACAGGTATACTTTGACATCTGGTAACACCTTTTAAAGGATCATTTTATCGAATTGGCAATCATTGATGCGCTGACCCGTGATCCCGAAACGCAAATCGGTGCTCGCGACAGGTATACTTTGACATCTGGTAACACCTTTTTTAAAGGATCATTTTATTTCTTCTGCCAGGCACCTTAGCATATCACTACCCTGGTCAACATTTAAAAAGAGTTCCAGGGTGAAGTTCCCTATATTTCCAGGTTTGTCAGGACTCAATTTTCTCCAATCCACGGTGTTCCTGATGCTGTCTTCATCTGGGGACCCAGTTCAAACAGGTGTAAAGTCCACTAACACCACTGCTGGGTTTCACAGTTCTTTCATCAGCAAGCCTTCAGGCAAAAGCAGTTTTCAAAGTTGGGAATTGTCTCTTGCTCCTCCCAGAGTTTGATCCATAATTTTTCCACTCTAGTTAGTTCTTTGGGGTTTAATTAGGAACATTTTACTAATCCCATATTCCGTGGGAAATTCAGTCCTAATTTAGGCTACTATTACCAGAAGTTTAAACCCTCACTTAAAGCTCCACTATTTTGCCTCCAGCTCGCCTGCTCAGGACCCCGATGGTCCCAGGGAAGGGAAGAGACAGCAGATAGGAGGAAACAGTGTCAGTTTCTTTACGGCCCTGTTTGCGGGGAATTGAAACTTTTGATTTCCTCAGGAAAACCCACACTTTTTCAGAGAGGAGATACGGTGACCCTGGAGTTTCTCCGCTTACCCAATTTCGATGGCTCAGTTTATCTGCAATTGCTCAGGTCAGGTGACAGAAGGCAGTATAGGACCACCACGCAAAGCACAAGAGAGAGGGTAGGGGCGCAGCCCGGGGTGTCCCGATAATGGGTAGGGGTGGCTTGAGGCGGCCACGTAAGGAAAGTGGCCTGGCCCCGGAGGAAAGTGAACTGGGCAGCGGTAGGCCGATCAAAATCCTTGGTGCTCTCCGTAGAGGAAGATGGAACACAAAAAAAATCAGCTGGACGCCTGCGCAGACCAGAACTGAGCGCCGTGCGGCATACGTCAGACCCGGAAGCGGAAGTGCCCCGCCAAGGCCTTCGGAGTGTGTAGTCTCTAGGCGGAAGACGTGTCAGGCTCAGGAATCAGCTTCGCGCGTGTTCAGAACGCACCGTGGCTCTTAAAATGCTTCCTTTACACACCTCCTTAAAGGGAACACCCAGATATTGCGATTAGTAATCCTAAATTAGTATAAACCTTTCCAACCAGTGTGCCCCCTCTAAATGCCCTTCTCACCCCGCTACGCAAATCTCAGGATCCCTTAACTTGAACAAAAACAATATTGTGCTTCCTTTCGGCGACTAAAAAAAAGTCCAGCAACTTTTTTTCCCATTAAGTTTATTGGTACATTTAAGGTAAACAATACAGTTACGTTCATCATTGGGATCTTGTACCTTTACATGATGTATCTTGGTTTTTATTTTTTCCTCCTTCCCCGTCCTCCCTTAACCCACTTCACCCTTCCCTATTTACATCGACTTTGTTTCCACTTTTTCCTTTTCTCATATTTTTTTCTTTTCCCTTATTTCCTTTCCCCTACCCTTCCCACTTCCCCTTCTAAAGTCCAGCAATTTTAAAACGTTAAATTCCTATTTCAGTCTTAGATCCTCACATGCTGACCATCCTCCCACTCTCAATGATGGGTATGAGATAGGATAAAGAAATAATATTAATTTTTTTAAAGAAGGCCAAAAAATAGAAAATATGAAATTGTATTTTGCTCTTTTTCTGCTTCTAGAGGCCACCCTTTCATGTGACCCCCCCCTCCATTATTATAGAATATAGTGTTAAATTGCTAGAGACTTTTACAATAGTCTGAAAATTCTGGGCATTGCATTCTTTTAATCTGCAAATTGCCTTTTCCTCCAGCCCGGAAAGCAGGTGCATTGGAGACACATGTCTTACTGTATATCTCCACTTCAAATCCATGTAGATGGCTTGCTCGGCAACCTGGCAGACAGTGAGAACACACATCCATCACCCATATCAAAAACAGCTTTTAAAAATGACCTAGCCTGGCTTATAACTTGTGCCTCATTTCTTTAAACAGCCACACTCCACTCTTAAGGGCATCCTGTATCTTTCTCTAATAAATGCCTTTTTTCATGCCTCTTTTTACTAACATGTCATAAAAATTATTTTTCTGTGACAAGAGTAGTCAGCAAACCTACATACTTGTTTTAAAAGGGTGGGTTAAGTTCCTTATTCTATCCTCAGAGACCCTCAGGCCCCACCCATGATAGGTAGGTTGGGGCCAGAAAGGGGACAGAGAGGAGAAGCAGTGTTAGGGCAAGAACCTTCTGATGCCCCATCTGGTTGTGTCAGTCTTGTTCCACCTGAGGCCCTAGACCTGCCCAATTCTACTCCCTAATTCATCCCCATCCTAGGCCTCTGTTGATTCATAGCAGGGCAGCCTAGCTTCTACTTTGGCCCCATGCCATTCACACCTCTAACCCTCTCTCCTCTCCAGGTGAGTTATTCTCTAGTTTAGTAGTGCAGCCACTGGCACAGAGCCCTACTGCTCCTGCCTTCCGGTCCTCCTTCCTCCTTTAAGTGAGCACCAGGCACAGGGTAAACACTTCTTTAGCACAGTCCCAAGCTTTCTCTCTGGTTAGCTCTTTCATTCTCAAGGGGCTGGGTTTGGAGGGATCAATTACTCTAGATGGTCTCTGATTCCAGAGTTCACTAAAATCCTGTCTTGTGATCTCTGGAAGCAACAAACTGAGGGAATAGACCTATGGTATTCTTTCGCTTTCCACGCACAACAACAGGCAGATCCTTATAGGGCTTCACACTCGGCTACTAGGGGCTACACAAGCAACCACCTCCTGCCTTCCAAAACCTCCAGTTTCAAGCACACGTGTTCCCTCCAAAGGGAGGGGCAGAGGCCTCACCCCAGGAGCATGAGGCACCTCTTCTCTTGGTCAGAACCTTGTGGGTACCATGTCCATAGGGGCTGAGGATCGAGTCATTAGGCAAATCTCACATCTCCTACTGACCCTGTGAACAGTGTCATGTCCTCTGGTATCTTTTAGAATGCAAGGAAACATCATAGCTTCTTTTCCTTTGGGGCTTTATCAACAACTCCAAGATAATACAAAAGTCACTGTCAAAATGCTGTGACAGGGCTGGGGTTTTAGCTCAGTGGTTCCGCTGCCTGCCTTGCAAGCACAAGGACCCGACTTCAATCCCCCCCCCAAAAATGCTGTGACAACTCTAATTTTGGAAATTAGACATTAAAATTCAAGAACATAGCTCATTAGGCTGGAGATTTAGCTCAGTGGTTCCACCATCTGCCTTGCAAGCACAAGGGCCCGAGTGTGAGCCCCGGTACCAAAAGAAAAAAAAAAAAAGAATATAGCTCATTGCTAGTTTCTTATTGCATATAATAAAACAAAACAATTACAATTAATTTCTGTTCACATAATCAAATCTATTATTTATATTTCAGGCCCACATTTTGGTTCCCTCTTCTATTAAAATGTCAAAAAATGTTTTTCCAAAATTATAGGACTTTCACTTATTTTTAAAGGAGAGGTGTACATTGGCTCATGTTCCCTGAAAGGTAACAATATTAGCAGTACTTTTACACTAACTCTGGCACACAGTCACTTATGTTATCTACAAGAGGCCCTCTGTTTCCTGCCCTTTCCTTCTTCTTGGGAGTGGGAATGCTTTGCTTGGTCCTGACAGCGCCAACGTTTTTTTTGTTTGTTTGGGTTTTTTTTTTTTTTTGGAGTTAGGATCAACCTCTCACCCTTGGGAACATGGATGCCTACTGTTACTTCTAACTCTTTCCGGTATGCTGGATGCACAAGTTATCAGGGCTCATGTCCTAAGGGGAACCAAGCAAATGACTTTGTAGGACGAAGGAAGATCTAAGGGCAAGGAGGCAGATTTTAAGTGTGACAGGGTTTACACTTTCAGAGAAGCACATACAATGAATACCTATGCATCTCATTCTTTTTGCAAATATTACTATTTGCCATATTTGCTTTTTAAGAAACAAAATGTGACAACTTAAGCCTTCTTTTATTCCTACCCACCCCACGCCCCTCTACCTGCAGAGGAAACCACTCCCTTGAAGCTGGTATTTTAATACTTTCCTTTTTCTTCATGTATGTCAAAAAAAAACACCCAAAATCCATGTATATGGATTTTAAAAAGTTATGTTGCATTGTATGTATTCTTCTGCAATTTTCAATACCTAAGCCATAAAATATGATGTGAGACCTAATGGGATGATTGTAGAAAAAGAAAAGAGGCCCAAAGACCAAGTCCTGGGGGGAATTTCTACATCTAGAGCAAGGAAAGGTAACTTGGGAGAAGCAGTGGTCAATAAAGTATAAAGAAATATAGATGTGTAACTTGGAAGCTAATTGAAGAACATTGTCAACAGCTAGGCAAAAACACTGAGAAGTCAAATATGAAGATTAATTAAATGCTACTAGATTTTAATAGTCTGTCAGTGAACCATGACAAGAGCAGAAATAAAACCTTATTGGAGTGAGTGCAAAAAACAAATGAAAGAAGAATTGAAAACAAGTATTCCATGCCTCTACTAAGGAATTTTGCTATTAAGTAAAGCAGGAAATGGAGTGGTTGGTAGAGAGAAGGGAATGGAGAATATACTGTGCATATTTCAGATAGCAAAAATTAATATGCTGATGGGAAAGATTCATTAGATAATATTTTAAAGGACACAGGAAAAACAGACAATTGTAGGAATGAGGCCCTAGTTTAAGGATAGGATGTCTTCGGCGAGAGAACAAAGTCAACCAGAGCATCCAGAAGAGAAGAGCACAAGGACCAGATCCATTGATGTTAGTTCTCTTCTGATTACTTTTACTTTTTCTGCTAATTAGGAAATGAGTGAAGAGTGGGGCAAAGTGCTAGAAGTGTCAGACGACAGAAGGTATGAAACTGTACTGGAGAAAGAGATGATTACTGGTTTAGGAAAAAATGCTGAGTTAGCAGACAGAAAATTAAAAAGTGGGACTAGTACTGTCTACCTAGAATGTACCAATAAATTAAATTTTTAAAAAAGTGGAGCTAAACACTGTGGTTGTTGTTTTCCCCCCTTCAGCTATGTTTAGCTGCATGGATATGAGTAGAATCAGTGAAAGTTATTTTTTTGCCAGATTCTTTGGTTCCTTCACTTAAAAACAGAAATGTAAGAATATGACAAATTTATGAACTTACTGATATTTTATTTTTTGGTTTTTTGAGACAGGATCTTACTATATAGTTGAGACTGATCTGGAACTCACTAGGTAGCCCAGGCTGGTCTCAAACTCACAGTGATCCTTCTACCTCAGCCTCCTGAGTACTGGGATTATAGACGTGGCTGCCATGCCCAGCTTTATTTTTACTTTGAGCTCCTATGGGAAAATTTTTAGTGTAGGGTAACGTACCAATGAGTGGAACTTCGGGGCTATGAGACATGTGCAATTTCTATTTTACATGGTATCGCCAAATTATTCCCTGAAATGATTGTATCAACATATCCTCCCAACAGTGTATAAAATCCCCCATTCTCCCTGCAAGATTTATTAATTTTTGCCAGCCTAACTGGCATGAAATGTGTTTTTTTTTAACCTTTTCATTTATGAGCCAGAATTTATCAAATCTCTGCTCACTTAACACTATACTAAGTACGTACGATGAGTCTGGCACTGTGATAAGCAGTGGGACAAGAGTTAACAAAAACAGAAGTGGACCCCGTCTTCCTGGAAATTACAGTAATTTATGAAAATTTAAAAAGGAGACTAATTCCTATAATTTTGTTCAGATGACTGCAGAACCTGGAAAAGCTGTTGCTGCTATTGATGCATAACATACTATTATTAGTCTTTATATATATATATATATATAT